TGTATAAGAGACAGGCTTTAATCAAATTAAAATTTTGCCATTCGATTTTATTATGTAGAGGAAATTTCTGAAAATCTCTAAACAATTCTCTGAAAAACGTTGAAAATCTATGAATATCTATGAAAATCTATGAACTGTAACCATGAAAATTTTTGAAAATCACTGAAATACTCTAATAGTAGTCTCTGAAATTTTACTGAAAAATTCTCTGAAAAACTGAAACGTGTCCGAAATTCTAAACTTTTTCAGGGAAATTTTCAGAGAAATTCAGAAAAATTTTTTTACCAAGAATGAGAATCCGCCTGCTTGTGACTGACAACTATATAGCCTAGTACTCCTAGTAGATGATCGTTGCAGAACTCACTATGAAGCTCGCTCGCGATATTTCGCCGAACGTTATGTTATTGCGAACTCTGTAGCCACATCATACACAAATTGAAAAACGTTGGAATGTTCGGTTGGAATGTACGAAATAAATAAACATTGTGATCATCTTTATAAGTGCGTTCTATGCATCTCTATATAGGTGCGTTCAGGGAAACACTATTAACGCTAATGACGCAAACGCTATCAACACTGTTCATGGAGCCAATAGTGTCGTAACGATTGCAAGCATCATGAACAGTATTTAGCATTAGCGTAGCATTATTCGCATTTTTGTAATCAGCGTCGTTTTACGATTATACACATGACTTATAAGCTCCTGTATATTAATTAAAGATCATGTGCCTGAACATAGATCAATATAGACGTGATTCATATATACCGAATAATTTAAAATACACTTCTCAACAAAATTAAAGCATCACTTACTCTATCCTCCGAAAATAGGCAAAATTCAAGAGAATGTAACTTCGTCAAAAATGATCGTATCGAGATGTTCAAATAAGCATTTTACAGCTTGAAATCTTTACTTTTCAAGTCGGTACTTTAGAAAACGATTCTACTGATTTTTCATGGAATTACACGGATAGAAAAGGAGACTCGACGAATCTCAAAATTTTTATGTAGTTATAAATTATTTCATTGACTATAGAATCACAAGGCATACAATTAGGTTTAAGACAATTTTAAATTTAAGATTAAATTATAAATACCATCTTTAAACAATTATTAGATATTTATTAGTATGTATATAATCCATTATTAATTATAAATTGATTTTTAATTCTTCCGAAAAGTTCTTCATAATTTTTCATACAACTTATGTTAAATTTTAAGAGAATTGGGGACAGGACAAATGTAATATACATATTTGACTATAAAATTATTCTACAGGTTTTCTCGTCTTTGAATCTTGTCTTTTCTTTAAAATTTGAAGTCAGATACAACTAAAAGTCGGATCAAGAAATTTATCATACTTGGCATGCCTCTGAAGCCATCAAAACTCATTGGTCTATTGGCAGATTTCTAAATTAATGTAAGACAATTAATAAAAATTGTCCACGTAGAATTGAAAGATAAAAATCTCGATAGCCTCAAAGAGGCTCTTTTTTCTTAATTTGAGATTACTGAGATTTTTATTTTTCAATTCTATCTGGACAATTTTTATTAATTGTCTTACATTTATTTATCTGGAAAGCCATGTTTTTCGCTTTCAACTTTTAAAACTTCTTGTATTAATTAGCCAGCTGTCTGCTTAATAATATAAACCGGAAATATATACAGGGTGTCTCATAATAGGTGTATCACCGTTCATGGGTAGGTAGAACGGATTAAACTGAATCGAAAAGTTCTCTACTATTTTGTAACATTCGCAATCGTTAACAAGATATTAATTTTTGAAAATCGGCAAATAAACTTAATATCTCGTTAATAAATGCGAATTTTACAAAATAGTAGAGGACTTTTTTGTTCAATTTAATCTACTTATCTTGTCACGCACTTGTACTCAGCGGTGGGCCGGATGAATACGCGTTTATTCGTCAATCTTCAAAAATTAATGTCTCGTTTACGATTGCGAATTTCGCAAAATGGTAGAGGACTTTTCGATTCAGTTTAGTCCGTTCAACCTACCTACCTATGAACGATGATACACCTATTATGAGACACCCTGTATATAGCCACAGTTATAATAATAAAGTATAAAAATAATCATTTTTTATTATTTTAATTTTAAATTTCTCAAAATTTTGATAAATTATATAATATTAAAGTTCAAAAACGCGGTATTTAAAAGATTTACTTAATAATTTTCTTTCTTGAGTTAAACATGTTATTTTTTGTTAAAATAATTACAAATGGAAGATTGTGGTAATACAAAATAATAGATTTTGAAAAAATAATAATGATCAAGGATATTTCGGAGATTGATCATAAGAAACTGGAGATCTGTGTCAAAGTCGTGCCGAGAAACCGAACGATCGATGTAATGTAGCTTTTCATGCATATTATTACGTACTGGATTGTTGTAGGCCGCCTGGAATTGGAACGGGGCTAAGATCACCCTGGAAAATCCTGCTTTTGAACATCCTATCGATTCTATGATAATCTGTGCAAATATATCTCTTTCTTTCTCACTTCCCTCTTTCTTTCTTGAGCTAAAAATTCTACTACATCGTTAAAACTCACAATGCATGAAATTACATTAACAAATGTTCACTTGCCATTTTTTTCTTTCTCTTTCTTTCATGACAACTTTTATTTTAAGCACAATAAATTTTACGTGTGAAATTCTTCATTTCAAAAAAATTTATATTTCAAAACGAATAATTTCGTTCATAAAGTCGTATTTTTCTTCTCCAAATTGTCACAGACTTCTCGTTTATACTTCTATATGAATCGCTGCAAAGATTCCTCATTGGAGTAACTCGGTAAAACAGATTATTTTTCTGTTTCGATCTAATTCAGTCAACGTGCAGATCTTTTCCAAATTCCTCACATTTCCTCTTCCTGTTCCTCACTTTATTACTGTTCACGCGAATGAGCCTTTATTAGTCTCCTCACGAAAGATGAATCGTCGAATGTATCATCATATCAGTGGATATCTTATTCTCTATCTCTTGACTAGATACCTTGACAGTTGCTTTCTTTTTCCACACCTCATTTCATCGATTGCTCATCTTCTGACGACACGTTGTGGAGAATAAACATGAGTCCTACGGATGTGCAATTTCACCATTGCTCCATTTCCTAAAGCAGACTCTATGTAAATGAACTGTTGCATCACTACCAGTTCCTCCCCCCTAGTCCTCCCCTTTGGCACGCACCTTCGCGCGCATAAGGTACAGCCGGACTTTCCGACTTGTAGTCCACCGTAGCCACTAAGTCACATTGATCCATGTGTTGAATTCCTCCTTCCTACCTATTATTAGAACCATTCTGCTAACTCATGCTTTCAACGAGATTAGTAGTAAACTTTACAACATTTGCTTTTTTTATTTTATATCAAATTCGTTTTTTCAATTTTGTTTTGTTTTTTTTTTTTTCGAAAACGATACGAAGAATGACAAAGAAGATATTTTGTTGATATTGTTGAATGGTTGATATTAAGTAACGCTAAAGTATGCGATGCAATGATGAAATTGAGCAGTAAAATTAGCATGTTCGCGCATCATCTTTCTACAAGGTTTTTTTCGTATTTTCTTCTTATTCTCTTGATCTCCTTTTCTTGTCTTTCACCTTCCCTTTCTATCTCTTTCCCTCTTCCAGACTCCACCCACTATTGTCATTCCTAAGTTATCATTTATTACTTAAAAATTCGCTGCTTTTCAATTAAAGTTTTTGATTGCAAATGCCAACTTTGAGAAACGTGAAGAACACCCATCACTCGCGATCATTCGTGGCAAGTTTTAAGCAGGAATTAAAACAATATAGATAACATATTAATTGCAAGGTACTTCCCAATTAGAAATGAACAATATTTCTCTACAGAAAATATATTTTTCGTTTCAAATATCTTTTTTGTTTGATCTTTTTCTCTTATATTCAGATTTCTCTGATTTAAAAAACGATCAAACATGGAAAATACTTTTTTCTCTCGTCCTCGTTCCTTCGCTTCTTCCTTTTCAAGATGATGCATCACCTACGTTGTATCGAGTTGTAAATTCAAGGAATGTGAGAGTAAGACTTCTATAACACTGAGTCAACAATTTATCAATACGAATCGTTGATCAATCTCTTGTTTATTTCAATTATATTGGGTATTGACACAAGAATCCTGAGATTTTTTTTATAACAAACGTTTCTTAAATCATCCCCAAAATTGACGTCAGCGATCATCCATAATTCTCTCGAACACACTCGTGGATGATCCTCTGTGAAATCGCACTCATCACTCACTTTTGCACAGCGTCAGTAAGCAATTTTTGCAACTAACGATTGGCCTGGCATCTATGCAGAAAACGCCCACTTCACTTCTCGTCCGCCGACTTGCATCGACATTACGTCGTATTTTACTGCACATTTGCACAGGGCGCGAGCATCGCACGTACCACCATTTCGCGAATACGACATGGCGTCATCATCATTAGCATCACCGTCATCTCTCGGCCAGTAATAAGCTCCAGTCATATCTATTTTTTTTTTCCTTAGAATTCTCCTCTTCATCCATGTTGATCGTACAAAGTCATTATATCGAGACGTTTCCTTTATCGTAACTATCGCTACTTCCGAAATTGTTTCTCGCCGTTATATTCGCGCACGTGGATGTCCAAGATTTATCGTGGATTTATCTATTCAAGATCGCGCAGAAAACAACGAGGAAGGATCAATCATCGACGAAGGCGGCAGCGGCGGTGGCGGCAGTAGCGACTGCGAACGGAGACGATCGCGGATGCATTGATCTCTGCGCCTGAAGCGCGGCTCGTAGTGTTCCGCGCCGACCTGCCTCAACGCGAATCTCAACGCCGACTCCTCGACCATGCTGTGCCATGTCCTTTCCTCCCATCGAACCTTCTTTTTCTCAGCAGTATATTATTGCCGTTCTGCTAATATCTGGCGCTTCCGGTATCAAAATAAAACAGTGCAAATATCCACGTCATGCAAATCATAAACAATTGAAAAATTATATATTAGTAATTTAATACTTGCCTTAGTAATTTAAGGCCTGCAGATTTAAGCGGTCAATTCATAAAAATTAACCAAATTTAATACGATTAATAATTTTTTCTAAAATCATATTAAAGTCGTAAGCAACTATATTTTTAGTTTCTTTTTTTTTAGATTTTGCAATCAGTTCACTCTTTCAATACTAAATAAAATTAATACTTCAACGAATATATGTTATTAAATATTAAGATAGTTTAACGATTATATAGTCTGTATATTTGTTTATTCTGTTGAGTTACGTTAAATAGAATTAACTGCAAAATTCCAATAACTTTAGCGGTTTACAAAAGTATTTTAAACTCTGTAAAAAGAAGAATAAAATTTTATGGCTAGTTATTTTCGAGTTATTGATTAAAATAGAATATAATAAAATGCAAATACTAAAATCAAAATTAACTTAATTATTTATTAATAATTTGACATATTATATATTGTATAATAAACAATAATTAAATCATAGTACGTTAGCTTAAATTAAATCAAATAAAATTTAATTTCGAATTTATAAAAAAATAAATAACCTTTATAATATATTTCTAACCAAAAATATTTTCCATTATGTACCTTATATGTATCTAAATATTTCTAATTTAAAAACTAAAAAATTTACTATGTTATGAAACTTTTATATTACTCTTACTTCTTATCTAAAAAAAAGGCATGTTAAATTGATACTCGCATCTCTCGAAATCTTCTCGAAGTTTATTGTTGATTCGTTTCCGCGACGCCGATTGATTCTCTCGCTATAATTACGCTAATTTCGTGAGCAACTGTTATTACATATTTTGACAGTTGTGCGTATCAAAGGGTTAATAGTCTAATACAATGTAATGGTATGCATTGTAAATGTTATTATAGCAAGAAGAAAAGAAAAACTTAAATAGCGCAAAGCGCACCGTCTGTAATGTTTAAGCAAAAACATTATGGCAATTATTGAATCACATTGCTAAAGTGAGTTTTTTTGAATCATGTTAACAAACGGAACCAAAATATTAATTTAACGCAAAAAATTATGTTTAAATAATTTGCCTATTCTCTCCTTTTCACTTTAATATAAATTAGAGATTTGTGACTATTCGAATACGAAAATTCAAATTAAATCAAGTAAAATTTGATTCGATTCCAATTCGAATCTCTGATAATCCGAACTATTCGAAATTTCGAATCTAAGAAATTTAAATAAAAATCACGTATTAACAATCTCATAAAATCATACTTCCTGCTAATAAATAAAACAGTGCTGCAAACTAAGAGACATATCTTTAAGGCGATGCTGGAAGGTTGCCTGCATATTTAGTGATATTTGTACGAGGTCGAAGCAGTCTGCTCAATTTCATGACAACATTTGATTAATATGAAAATTCTACAGTTTATATGTGCAAATTGAAAGTATAGCACTCTGCGGATAACAATAAAGAACAACACTGAATTGTTAAAACTAGGATAAAAGCCTATAAAAAGTTATTCACTTTTAAAGATCTCATGCAAATTTGCGCATCACGTGAAATCTTTAAAAGTGAATAACTTTTTTTATAGGCTTTTATCCTAGTTCTAACAATTCAGTGTTGTTCTTTTATGTTGCCCGCAGAGTGCCATACTTTCAATTTGCACTTATAAACTGTAGAATTTTCATATTAATCAAATGTCATGAATTGAGCAAACTGCTTTATCGACCTCGTACAAATTTGGCCGACCTTCCAGCATCGCCTTAAAGCATGTTTGGAGAGACATATAAATAATTATAATTGGTTATAAATTTCAAAATTACAGTTATATGAATATCTCCGAATTAACTGAACGGAATTGAAAATTTCACAGGATTGAAATAGACATGGAATGTAGTGGTAGAACAAAGGAATTCGTAGTAAAAACGAAAAAAAATGAAAAAATTATTTCCTTCGTCATGTCAAAGCTGTATCAATAAAAATAGAAAACAAACGCACACATATCTCAATATATATCTGAGAAATTTATTTATAAAAGTACATCCAATAAAAATTATATTTCATTAAAAAAAATAAAAGTAAAATAATATCAATTTACCCGCCCATTTTTTCATATTTACTAAAACTAGATAGATCGTAGATATTGCCATTTAAAAAAATGAATTATGATCCTCGCAAGTTTGGAAAGCCCTGTTATAAAGACTCATTTTTAAAAACTTATTTCATTGCTAAGTGTGGATATTTAAATTTTTAATTTTATACTTTAATAATTTTTTTATCTGTTTTTTAATTTTACCTCCAATTAATCTTTTATTTACATGTACCTATGTTCGCATTTTGATAAAGTAATAGCATAATTAATATAATGTAATAATATAATATACAGTGGCATAATTAATATTTCTTAGCAATAATAGATAATATTTTTGTTTAAAAAAATATTGTTCATTTAAATTTTGGAAAATCTTATTAGCAAATTTTTGCAAATTTAAAATACATGTGAGTATTATCTGAGTTTCTTAGTTTTTTTAAATCATACAAGAATTACTTTTTTTAAATATTATATTTAATCCTAATATTTGCTCCAAAATTATTTAATTGGACGTAACTAAAAACCGAAACGTATTCGCGAGTTCAATTGTCATGTACCTGACAAAACTTTAAATTAATGTATCTTTGCTTAAAGCAATTGGGAAGATTTTGTCTACAAAACGATTGCTTACAGCTTTGTTTGCACACAACCGTATTTCACACAGCGCATTGCGCACATAACCATATTGCACACAGTGAATTGCACATACGACCATATTGGGCACAGCATACATACAATCATGTTGCACACATAAAATAAGAAAATCATATTAAAATTTATATATAATTCATATGATCATATTAAGAATATATCATATCTAAAAACAATAAGAAAAATATAAAAATTTCACAATTGTTTTGTTACTACATCTGTGTATGATTCCCTTTATTGGTTTAAAAGCATGATTCCCTTTATTGGTTTAAAAGTTATTTAATTTTTTATTTACTCTTGATTCTTATATAAAATTGTGTTTTGTAGTACTTATTTGGAGAAATAAGGAAGCAATAAGAATTAAATCAAATTTTGTACATATCCATACTAATATGACTCTAATGAACATTTATGCAAAAGTTTATTTGGATTCACCTGTAAAAGTTATTTACCTAAAATTGCAGCAAAATATGAACATTACGCTGCATAAACTATTTTCGTCTATGCGTCTTGGCAACAACGCAATGGATACAGTATACAGATGTATTGAAAGTGTTTAGGGCGCGAGTCAATATCGAAGTTTTAGGTTAAATTAAAAAAAAAAATACGTAAAATAAGTAAAAAAACACAAAAGTACATAATTAATAGCAATTAAATAACAAAAATTATGAAAAAATATAAATTCTTTTAAATTAAAAGTTTCTAATATTTATATATATGCGTGTATGTATACAGAAGTAGTCACAATATACGTCACAGTACTAAAAAATATATAACAAAATATAAAATACATAAAAATTAAAGAAACAAAGTAATTAAAAACACAAAAATAACTTAAGCATTTAATTATATTTTAAATAAAATATTAAAAAAAAACAGTGACTAAAAATAAAGACGAGAAAAATTATAGTAATAAATTTAAATAAAATATTTTTTAATTTATATATGTATACATTGTATACATTTTACTAACAAGGGAACCTCGCAAAGTGTCAAATTCTGATTTTAATGAAACTTGGTACACTTTGAGGTCACATAAATAAATGAATTTAGAAGTTATCAGTTAGTGCTAAAAAACGGTTTAAAGGAATGA